GTCCTGAAAGGACATGACAAATAAAAAGAAAGAAAGAAGTTTTAATAAAGTCAAATTAATTTGAGCCCCCCCCGCTCCCACGTGGGATTTTAACCTAATTCTTACAAAAGGCCAAAAATGGTCCACTGTTGCTTACTATTTTGTACTAACAGCTGTTTGGAAGATGTGATTAAATATACTTTAATGTATAAAAAAGATTTATTCAGCATTATTATCGTTTAGGTAACATAGCAAAAATGGCTATATTGTGGAAAAAGGAATTTTCGACAATATACACATTTTTTACGTATTTATGGTTATTTTCTAACTTTTATCAAAAACATTCTTGTACATGTATTTAATGTCGTAATCATACTTATTATAAAACCCAGGTTGTGTGTGTGTGTCTGTTCGTTTATATATTGGATCGGATTTCCTACATTTTTCAACCGATTTCAACAAAACTTCACAGGCCTACGTAAAATTACCTTGCGGTGGTTCTGACAGTGCCAAAAATAGGAAAAACAAAATTGTTTTTGCACGAAATCAATTTGAAAACACGATTAAGAGGCATCGCGAGAATGAAAGGGGGACAACTCATATCGAGTTATACTTATTATAAAACCCAGGTTTGTGTGTGTGTGTGTGTGTGTGTGTGTGTGTGTTTATATATGGGATCGGATTTCCTACATTTTTCAACCGATTTCAACAAAACTTCACTTTTTTTTGGCAGGTAGTGTTTCTTATTGTCTTGCACACTTTTTTCTTTATTTTTACATTCAGAATGCTTTAAAAATTCCATTTACAAGTTAACTGTTTATAATAAAATTCTATTCAATCGGTAGACTCATAACGATTGAAAACAGTGTTTTTGTTTGAGTTTGGGTTTGACCAATTAGTAAAAAAAAACAACAAAACAAAAAAAAACTAATTAAGACATGCGTGTCCGTCAACCTTAAACAATAATCATTGTCAATTTTATTTTTCAGTCTTTATGATGATCGATACTTGATCTATCTCTTACTGTTACATCCCCGGGCAACGCCGGGCTCTACTGCTAGTCTGTTAATATTGATAATATTTTGCTGCAAATCTTCAGCAGATCCTGGGAATATCAGGTGCTGTAAGCTTGGATGTGTGGGTGGTGTAATGGATAATGTTTCACAATTGTTAATTGGAGAGCCGAGTTCCAATTCAGTAGGTTCGTTATATTCACTTACGCGCAACTTAGGAAATGTATGAATCTATCTCTTCTCCCCCAGCTATGGGTTAATTAGTAGAACTTTACCACTAATACTAATTCATTATTCATACAAAGGTTTACAGCCACACCATGTACGGTCACCGAAGTTAAGCAACGTCGAGCCTGCTCAGTACCTAGATGGGTGACTGTTTGGAAATACCAGGTGCCGTAATCTTGGATGTGCAGGTGGTGTAATAGATAATAGCTCGGAATTGTTATTCGGAACGCAGAGTTCTAATTCCAGTTGGGTTCGTATTATTCACTTACGTGCAAATATCTTTGGGAAAGGTATGAATTTACCTCTTCTCATCCCAGTAAGGGGTTAATTAGTAAGACATGTATCTCTAAACCATTATGATCTAAAAAAAAATTCTTACAATCTAAAAAAGTATATTTCTGGCTTTAAATAACCTGCAAATGGTTGATAACCTGAGAAAACCAATTAGTGAATTCAGGAGATATGTTAATCTAAAAATATTAAAACCTGTATATTTAGATCTTTCACTTCGAAAAAAAACGAGGATTTTAGGAAAAAAACAGGGGGATTTTAGGAAAAATTGGGATTTTAGTAAAAACAGGGGGTTTTAGGAGAAACGGGGGGGGGGGTAGGAAGAACAGGGGAATTTTAGCAAAAAACGGGGATTATAGCATAAACAAAGAGAAGCAGACGGGTTTCAAATACAACTCGAAAACGTTAACCCTAAAAAAAGCAGTCTTCGAATATACAATATTTATTTCTAACTGGGGCGTGATTTCAAACCAACATTAACTTATTTCAGGCCAATATTACACTTGTAAGCATTATTCCCATTCGGTAGAACTTTTATCCAAAAATGTTATCTCCGTAAGAATTTAAAAATCATTGCTTGAAATTGTGAAAGTGTTTTCAAAACATATACTGAATAGGACATATTTTCACTCGGCAACTGTTTTAGTGAAGAAATCTCAATTTATATTGTCAATGAGACAATTACCCAGTGGATTTCGATAATTTGGTGACATAGTCATTGTGAGTTCAATCCCTGGGTTGGGTAGTGTGTACTTGGACGCAGTGGATACGAGCGTACAATAACTGAGGAGGGGCACCCCGAGGCGGTGTAATGGTTAGCAAGCTTGTCTCGCTAGCACAATTATGAATGAGTAGTGAGTTCGATCCTCACTGGGTGCCCCATAATTTCTGCCTTGTGCCACATCTAAGCTACGCTTGGAAAATCTCTACAATAACTGAGCAGTACTAAAAATGAGATCTAGACGAGATGTCCCGAGACATGAGCAGTGGAACGAGAAGAGTCTAGTCCTGTAAAGTAAATAAAGGTTTCAATTCAGAATTCCCTGTAGGTTACCCAGATCCATATACACTTGATGAAGGTCGGAGCGCACAACGGCCAAAACGTTGCGATGACAACAACAAAGATGAGGACAACACTCCGTTTGTAAATAACGTAAATAAGGGAGAATCTTGTAAAAGCCGATTAACTCGGCAGATCAACAATTAACAGGAGGGAAACACTCGTGGCGAAGCGTGAGACGAGGATAAAGAGTTCAAATCCCGGGGCTACGGAAAGTCTCCCGGTAGCGACGGGAGAGTCGACAGTTCTCATTCAAAGAAAACAAGGAAGGCCGAAGAGTTCACCGTCCTTGATACTGTAATCGAAACAAATATGTTTGATTGGTTGAATTTTTTTAGGGGCATATCAGCCTCTGTGGGTTACTTAATGCCGAAACCTAAATAATTTAAACTCGATTTTATAACTTCAACTAAATATATTCTGAACATAATTGTATGACTTCAACTATAGATAAAATGTATTGCTGGCCATATTGCTTTAAAATGTATTGTTGTTCATTTTATTATAAATCTGTATTGTTCTTTTCTATATAAAATGTATTGCGGGTATTTTTACTATGAAATGGTATTTTTATTCTTTCATAGTGTTTTGCTTGGGTGGTTCATTATTTGTCCATAGCTGGGACTCTAACAGGTGCGACCACTCTGGGTCAGGGTGGACCTGGAAACACCAGCAATAAAGAGGTGGTTCCACGCTCCTCAAAACCTCCTGATCAGAGTCCTTGCTGCTGGATGTAGTTTATCGTCATGCCTAGGACACAAAGAACTATGTAAATGCTAATTTTTAAAACCTGACTTGAATAATGACAGTATTTCACTACAGATCTTCAAATGATCCTCAGAAGGCTGTAGAGTTCATCGGCCTAAACATTGTGATCAGGTCAACAACAAAAGAGAAGTTGTCAGGTTGAACAATTATATTGAATAAGAAGAATATTTCCCGACATATTTTGAAAGGTCCCTCAGAAGGCCGGAGAGTGCTTCAACGTAATAATGATCGAAAAAAAAAAAAAAAAAAGTGATGCTCGTCTTAAAATATTACTGTATAACTTGAGATTGATTCAGATGCAAAACTGAGGTTATCTTCCTATCAAAAGTTGAAGGCAACAGAAAAAGTTAAAAACGATAAAAATAACTTTCTGACTACTGTATATACTCGTGTATAAGTCGACTTCATGTATAGTACGACCCCTGAATTTATTTATGAAGAACCTGATCTCTATTCATATAACTCGTGTATAATACGACACCAAGTTCTGAGCATTACTAATAAGCCTACCGTAGCCAAACATTACAGTGCTGGGCATCATCTTGGACAGATTTTATAGAAAATAAATGGTCATCATTGTAGAAAAGAAATAAGGAGAGAGGATGATGATCCTGATACCCGGATGCGAGAGGGTGCCGGCTAATAATAATAGGGTCAGATCAAAAAATGGTGTATTGCTGCCATATCTGGGCTGGAGCTACTCAATCTTCACTTTTCAATATTTACAGAATTCTAAATCTTTTAGGTGTCCTTGTGGGCAATGAATTATTTTCCACCCTGCAACCTCTTTCCCACAGACGAATCGTCGCAAGCCTTTCCCTATTCTGTCGCTATTTCCATGGCAAATGTTCAGTCGAGCTTCATTCCTTAGTTCCACAAGTTCAAACATTCACAGCTTCACTATTTTACCTAAGAACATATGACAATTCACAGATAATAAAGTAAACGGAATCTGTGGAGAGCCATGACCGCTTTCGCCCTAAAATAAATTCAAAAAATTCTTAGTCTCAGTTTTCTCATTCACTTTCACACCCTGTAACCTTCTGCGTACTCGTGATATTTAAAAATAAAATAATAATAATAATAATAAGCTTACTCTATGTATAGTACGACCCCTAAATTTATTTATGAAGAACCTGATTTTTATTCATATAACTCGTGTATAATACGATCCCATGTTCTGAGCATTACTAATAAGCCTACCGTAACCAAACATTACAGTGCTGTGCATCATCCTGGACAGATTTTATAGAAAATAAATTGGTTTCATTGCAGCGCTATTTGTTTGAATATTTTAAGAATATGTAACGGAAAATTATAAGATAAAATAATAATTGTAAATTTAAAGAATATAATAAATACAAATAAATATAAATAAACAGCGGAAGAGAAAATAAGGAATTTAACAGAAAAATTTGCATATATATATATATATATATATATATATATATATATATATATATATATACTGTGGATTTGGCAAGACATTACACTTAACTGAGTCAGTCGTGATAGTAGTATTTAGTACTCAGCTACACAAATCACTGCTATATTTTCTTTTTCCAGCGAGACATTTACCCAGGACCACTTATCATGAATGGATCAGTCGATTCATGATAGCAAGGATGGTAACTGGTTCTTACCACAACAAAAGCAATACATCAGCGATGTAAACACGTGCGAACGATGAAAGAAAGAAAGAAAGAAAGAAAGAAAGAAATATACTGTGGGATTTGGCAAGACATTACACTTAACTGAGTCAGTCGTGATAGTAGTATTTAGTACTCAGCTAGACAAATCACTGCTATATTTTATTTTCCAGCGAGACATTTACCCAGGACTACTTATCATGAATGGATCAGTCGATTCATGATAGCAAGGATGGTAACTGGTTCTTACCACAACAAAAAGCAATACATCAGCGATGTAAACACGTGCGAACGATGAAAGAAAGAAAGAAAGAAAGAAAGAAATATACTGTGGATTTGGCAAGACATTACACTTAACTGAGTCAGTCGTGATAGTAGTATTTAGTACTCAGCTAGACAAATCACTGCTAAATTTTTTTTTTTCCAGCGAGACATTTACCCAGGACTACTTATCATGAATGGATCAGTCGATGAGGATGGTAACTGGTTTTACCACAACAAAAAGCAATACATCAGCGATATAAACACGTGCGAACGATGAAAGAAAGAAAGAAAGAAAGAAAGAAATATACTGTGGGATTTGGCAAGACATTACACTTAACTGAGTCAGTCGTGATAGTAGTATTTAGTACTCAGCTAGACAAATCACTGCTATATTTTCTTTTTCCAGCGAGACAGCCAGGACTACTTATCATGAATGGATCAGTCGATTCCAAGGATGGTAACTGGTTCTTACCACAACAAAAAGCAATACATCAGCGATGTAAAACGTGCGAACGATGAAATTTCCTGTGGGATTTGGCAAGACATTGTAACTGAGTCAGTCGTGATAGTAGTATTTAGTACTCAGCTAGACAAATCACTGCTATATTTTATTTTTCCAGCGAGACATTTACCCAGGACTACTTTCATGAATGGATCAGTCGATTCTGATAGCAAGGATGGTAACTGGTTCTTACCACAACAAAAAAGCAATACATCAGCGATGTAAACACGTGCGAACGATGAAAGAAAGAAAGAAAGAAAGAAAGAAATATACTGTGGATTTGGCAAGACATTACACTTAACTGAGTCACGTGATAGTAGTATTTAGTACTCTTTAGACTAAAATCACTGCTATATTTTCTTTTTCCAGCGAAACCCAGGACTACTTATCATGAATTCGATTCATGATAGCAAGGATGGTAACTGGTTCTTACCACAACAAAAGCAATACATCAGCGATATAAACACGTGCGAACGATGAAAGAAAGAAAGAAAGAAAGAAAGAAAGAAATATACTGTGGGATTTGGCAAGACATTACACTTAACTGAGTCAGTCGTTATAGTAGTATTTAGTACTCAGCTAGACAAATCACTGCTATATTTTTTTTTTTTCCAGCGAGACATTTACCAGGACTACTTATCATGAATGGATCAGTCGATTCATGATAGCAAGGATGGTAACTAGCGATGTAAACACGTGCGAACGATGAAAGAAAGAAAGAAAGAAAGAAAGAAAGAAAGAAATATACTGTGGGATTTGGCAAGACATTACACTTAACTGAGTCATGATAGTAGTATTTAGTACTCAGCTAGACAAATCACTGCTATATTTTATTTTTCCAGCGAGACATTTACCCAGGACTACTTATCATGAATGGATCAGTCGATTCATGATAGCAAGGATGGTAACTGGTTCTTACCACAACAAAAAGCAATACATCAGCGATGTAAACACGTGCGAACGATGAAAAAAAAAGAAAGAAAGAAAGAAAGAAAGAAATATACTGTGGGATTTGGCAAGACATTACACTTAACTGAGTCAGTCGTGATAGTAGTATTTAGTACTCAGCTAGACAAATCACTGCTATATTTTCTTTTTCCAGCGAGACATTTACAGGACTACTTATCATGAATGGATCAGTCGATTCATGATAGCAAGGATGGTAACTGGTTCTTACCACAACAAAAGCAATACATCAGCGATATAAACACGTGCGAACGATGAAAGAAAGAAAGAAAGAAAGAAAGAAATATACTGGGATTTGGCAAGACATTACACTTAACTGAGTCAGTCGTGATAGTAGTATTTAGTACTCAGCTAGACAAATCACTGCTATATTTTCTTTTTCCAGCGAGAGCCAGGACTACTTATCATGAATGGATCAGTCGATTCATGATAGCAAGGATGGTAACTGGTTCTTACCACAACAAAAAGCAATACATCAGCGATATAAACACGTGCGAACGATGAAAGAAAGAAAGAAATACTGTGGGATTTGGCAAGACATTACACTTAACTGAGTCAGTCGTGATAGTAGTATTTTAGACAAATCACTGCTATATTTTCTTTTTCCAGCGAGACATTTTATCATGAATGGAATCGATTCATGATAGCAAGGATGGTAACTGGTTCTTACCAAAATACATCAGCGATGTAAAACACGTGCGAACGATGAAAGAAAGAAAGAAAGAAAGAAAGAAAGAAATATACTGTGGGATTTGGCAAGACATTACACTTAACTGAGTCAGTCGTGATAGTAGTATTTAGTACTCAGCTAGACAAATCACAGCTATATTTTCTTTTTTCCAGCGAGACATTTACCCAGGACTACTTATCATGAATGGATCAGTCGATTCATGATAGCAAGGATGGTAACTGGTTCTTACCACAACAAAAGCAATACATCAGCGATATAAACACGTGCGAACGATGAAGAAAGAAAGAAAGAAAGAAAGAAATATACTGTGGATTTGGCAAGACATTACACTTAACTGAGTCAGTCGTGATAGTAGTATTTAGTACTCAGCTAGACAAATCACTGCTATATTTTCTTTTTTCCAGCGAGACATTTACCCAGGACTACTTATCATGAATGGATCAGTCGATTCATGATAGCAAGGATGGTAACTGGTTCTTACCACAACAAAAAGCAATACATCAGCGATATAAACACGTGCGAACGATGAAAGAAAGAAAGAAAGAAAGAAAGAAATATACTGTGGGATTTGGCAAGTAACTGAGTTGATAGTAGTATTTAGTACTCAGCTAGACAAATCACTGCTATATTTTCTTTTTTCCAGCGAGACATTTACCCAGGACTACTTATCATGAATGGATCAGTCGATTCATGATAGCAAGGATGGTAACTGGTTCTTACCACAAACAAAAGCAATACATCAGCGATGTAAACACGTGCGAACGATGAAAGAAAGAAAGAAAGAAAAAGAAAGAAAGAAAGAAAGAAAGAAAGAAATATACTGTGGGATTTGGAACTTAACTGAGTCAGTCGTGATAGTAGTATTTAGTACTCCTAGACAAATCATGCTATATTTTTTTTTTTCCAGCGAGACATTTACCAGGACTACTTATCATGAATGGATCAGTCGATTCATGATAGCAAGGATGGTAACTGGTTCTTAACAACAAAAAGCAATACATCAGCGATATAAACACGTGCGAACGATGAAAATAACAATGTTAAGTCTCCATTCATATCAGGTATTTCTAGATTTTTAAGCGGCATACAGAGTGAATGACGTTCCGTTGTTGATGTAGCAACAGAAGGAAAGAATCTAGACCACGAGAGGCAAGCTAAAGGTGCTTACCTATACCGTTAAGGGTAGCCAAAGGTACCGTAAGAATGTAGGACTACCAGGTAGGTTACGGTCAACGAAAATGTATGAATTTTAAACCCTCCAGAAAAAGAATTATTTGTGTATAGTGCAACCGGTCATCGAAAATGCATGATTTTTAACCTCTTTAAAAAAAAAATTACCTGTGTATAGTGCGACCCCCTAATTTTGGCGTAAAAATCTGATCATAAAACTCACACTCTACTCGAGTACACAAGATATATTCATTTTTTTAGTCTGTCGAAAATATACTTATTTTTCTTTCTGTTCTGATTTACAAACTATTCAAGCTAGGTATTCAAGCTAGTCCTGGGTATGACGATAAACTGTATCCGACAGCAAGGCCACTGATCGGAACGTTTTAAGGAGGCGTGGAAACACCTCTTAATTGCTGTTTTCCCAGGTTCAGATAGCACCTGTTAGGGTCCCAACTATGAACAAAACTCTATGAAAATATAAAAATACAAATTTATACAGTGTAACCCGGATATAAGAGAGTTGTCGGGACCGGAGAAGAAGTCTCTTACATCCGGGTTTCTCTTATATCCGGGTTTGGTCTATTTTATATACATTAACAAAGGCTCTAATTTGGGACCAGAGAAAATCTCTCTTGTATCCGGGTTTCTCTTATATCCGGGTTTCTCTTATATCCGGGTCTCTTATATCCGGGTTACACTGTAGTAAAATTACCAACAATACGTACATACTAACAACAGTAACGACTTCACACAAATCCGTTTAAAATGCTACCAAACAACCAACATGAAAGAATTCTTTTATGATATTAATCCATATAATATCCGACAATTTATTAAATCTAACTGTATTCCGAAATATAAGTTCATCAAAACTGCAACATAAAAAACACATCATTGCCTCTAGTGATTATGTCCACACAAACATTGATAGGCACAAAAGCTGAGTATTATCATCTACCATGTATTCAATTGTGAAGGCAGAATACGATTTTTATTATTTCCAAGCTGCCAAGAAAATTAAATTTTGACCCACAAGGAGTTGATGTGCCGTTAAACAATCAAATCAATCAAGCGAGTAAACGGGTAAAAATAAAATATACAAGATAACTAAATTAATAAAGAAAGGTATTTTTTATTATTTTTTTTTTATTTTTGCTTGCAAAATCTAAATATTTCTCGCTGGATTTACATTTGTAAATCATAAATAGTATAACAGATGGCGCTGTGCGTCGTGTAAAGAATTCCATTTTTAATGTGTAACAATCCAACCAACAAGACAAGGATGAACCTTCAAGTCAAGTTTATTGATTATTTTGATATTGAATCAATGTCTGTAAACGCCAACCAATCTTGTCAAAACAAATATTTGAATCTGTTTTCTAGACAATTTTTGAATGTATTTTTATAGACACACAAACACAAATGCATATATATATATATATATATATATATATATATATATATATATATATATATATATATTATTTTTCAAAAACATTTTCATTCACATAAACATGCTTTCCAGCGCTCAGAAATCTTGGACCTGTCTCTTCCTTTTATCTGCGGTTTCCCTACAGACCATGGCTCTCCACACTTTCTTTTCCTTTGTATCTCCTATTAAGTTTTGTCTCATTTTTATATTTCTTAAACCTTGCTCCGCCATCCATTTACTCAAGCTCTCTAGATATGTTATGCGTTGTTTACGCCTTTCCTCCCTGCTTTCAATAGGTCTTGTGAGTATCAAATTTTCCAAACCCTCTTTCCTCAGTATTTGCCTTGGAATTTTCAACTGTCTCTTCCTGAAAGGCAGGATGCGAATGCTCTGTTTGTATTTTAGTGACAACAATACATAGGTTCCAATGTTTGTGCACATATGTGTTGTGTTACCCATGTTGCCACCAGAACTTTTCGGACGAATCATTCTACAACCTTCTTTAGGTGTTAAATCTGTAAATAAAGATAGATAAAGTACAATTACATTTTATTCACTTATGTAACCATCATTAGTAGCAACGACTTACTGCCACTTATTAACCTTCTCTTCGATAACTTTCGATCATTTCACATCAAAACCTACAGAATTTTACTCAATTTTGTACAGGAGTAGAGGTTTATCTTTTGTTTCATGTTTAGGATTGGATTTCCGGTTCCTTCTACTAAAATCTTCACATTTTTTCACTCCAAGTAACTTATTGCGTCTTAATGTATTGTTAGAGTATTGCCTTGCTTGTAGGGAAATGTTTTTTTAAAAAAGAGTAAAATTCTACAAGTCTTTAACGTATTTTTCTGTTAAGGGGTCCACCCCTTTTTCATACAAGTGGACTCGCCTTGTGTGTACTTGTACTGCTGCCGGTGAATACTCAGAGAGTGAGAAAGTGAGGTAACCGCTTTGTAGAAGTCACAGTTGCGAGCACGTAGACTCAGAAGGAAGTCATTCTTCGATACTAAATTTCCCAGACCGTATATATATTATTATTGCTACTAACCGCATTTCTGGATCTACTAACCGTATTACCAATTGTATTATTACGCCAATACATTTATTTGCTATATTTCATTCCTGCGTTTGTCATTCATTTGAGACCGGATTTAATCCCGGAATCCACAACATTTTCATGAGAAAAAGTTTACCGCATCAAGGCCGTTTGCAGTGACCGAAAAAGTTAGTAGTCGGTTGGCGCAAGGTCAAGTGAATATAGGGAATAGAGTTGAACAGACCAACCGTATTCCAAACTTTTTCCTGGGTTATTAAGGCCGTATGTTCATTTCATCCACTGTATACACTGCCACTGCTGTGCAAAACTAAAGTATGTTAGGCTAACCAAAATTGATTCTTAACTGCCACGTATGATGAGTAGATAGTACGTTCGTCATTACAATGGGTTTCTCAAAACGGAAATTACTTATGACTCATTTACATTCGTCGGACTCTGTGTGATTAATTATCTTTGGTTAACTTTTACTTCTTTGTTCTTGTTAAGTATTTATTTGTGGTTCTAATTAAATACTATTTTATTTTAACATTGAAGTCTTAAGTCAATCATTAATGCTCACCGTACGTCACAAAAACTATAAACGTTACTTTTTAATGGAGACACGTATTTGAGTTACCGTCCTTGTTTTTTTTTATTTTTTTATTTTCTCAAACAGTGAAGTTTATATACCATCCGACCTTGAAATATATTTCTTTCGACAAGAATCTTTCCTAGTCTGGGTCGGTTGTTATTAATTTCACTCTTTGAGAAAATAAACAGAAAAAAATTATTTGCAATATATTTCTCTACACATATCTTGGCAATATTTAAATTCAGTGGTACACTCATAAAAAATAATAATAATAATTTTTGTAGATTAGCATTCATTAGACATTCCTCGAGCCACGACATTTATCAGAATCGAAAAATATTGATTTCTTTCTCATTTTAAAAGGGGGTCCTGTTTATCATATAAAGACACTGTCAAATCGACCCTGACTTCTTAAAGACTTATTGGTTTTTTGTTTTTATTTACAAATGTCAGGTTTGAAACTGCTTATATAAAAATTTCAAATATTTTCCTTGATAGAAATTTGTTTGATGGTCTATTTTTCGTTTTTGGGTCTGTTAAGAGTTAATATGATGATGATAATGATGATGATGATTATATATATGTATATATGTATATGAGATAATGATATATAAATTTTTATATATCACAAAATATATTGGGGTCAAAAATGTATGACAAAGTGGAAGAAAGTTTTCGTATGACGTGTTTTGTCCGATGAAGTCCTAAACGCGTCGTATGAAAGATTTTTCCAACTTTGTCATACATTTTCCCCATACATACATATATATATATATATATATATATATATATATATATATATATATATATATATATATGAGAGGGAGTTAGTTGTACGAATTGTTACAAAATGACCATCTATTCTACAGAATCGCTTTAGGGGCTCCAATTCGATTTTTTTTGTAAGGTATATATAACTTACACAAATCCGAAATATATGGGTTAGCCTTCTTTTCTACTGAAGATGCCCACAAGGCAGTGGAAGCTTAAGTTCAGAGTATTCCTTCTCTATCAGATCTGCTATTTTCTTTTCTGTAATATAAAGACGAAGAAAAACTTAGAGACGGTTAATTGGACATGTTTTATGAGACGGAGTTCCAGTTATCGTGACACATTTTTTATTGCGAATAATATCAATTTGTTGAAGAGGAATATTTACTACTGATTTTAGTTCCTGATAGTGTAGTAGAATCAGTTATGATCTTGTAACAGCTGCGGCTGAAGACTTTGAAAAATAAATGAATCAACATTTTCAAAAGAAATTAATTCAACTCGTTATATAAAGAAAAAAATAACCCACGAAAAAAGACAAAGAGAAAATTCTATCTACGCGTCTCTAGTTATCTGTATGATAACTAGAGCTCATAAAAACGAAAGAAAACCATTTATAGGATTAGCATGTTCGTGTGCGTGCAACGTGGTTTTGGTGAAATTAAGCAGTCGGCTTCCCTTAGGTATACACGTTAGTGCACTAACGTCGTATTGTGTTAATAGCCTTCAATAAATTCCAGCCCTCTTGACCAGACAAAATGTGATCACTATACGTTGTCCCTCCTTAGTGCACACTGCTAGCGGAGTGGGCATGTTTATACTGTAACAGCGGCAAGAAAACTGGCGTGATTGAGCTCAAACATCGATCATGTGATTACAATAGTACCAACTATAAGCCCGCATGAGCAGATGACCATGTGACAAACCTAAAGATATATTATGGTCAAACAGCGGAGAATTTTTTACCTACCCACGTACTTAAATATTGTTGGGTTTCAGTGATTTTCATGCGGCATCCCATACAGCTATCAAACAAGCAGATATTTCAAGGGACAAGATAATCAATTCGACATATATATATATATATATATATATATATATATAGGTGCACCAGTGAGGTACAAACTAACTAATAATTTAATCAACCAAACTAGCTCGTTGATCATTACCCCAGCTAAAGAGGCTATGATGTTATGACTGATGTTAGTTTCTAAGCAGAGATTAATTTTGTCATCAAGAGAATTACGGAAGCAGTCAGTAAGGATCGAACCCACTACTCAGTAGTAATAATTAACTAAACTAACTCGTTGACGATTGCTAAAAAAAAAGGCTGCCTATGAGGCTATGCTAGTTGTTATTTATTAAGTTATTGTTAGTTCTCTACCCGCGATACAAGTATGGAGGAGGGGTACCTCGGCGTGGCGTAATGGTTAGCAAGCTTGTCTCGCTAGAACAATTACAGCTGAGTAGTGAATTCGATCCTCATTGGATGCCCCCAAACCTTTGGCCTTGTGCCACATCTAAGTTACGCTTGGAAAATCGATACAAGTATGGAGTGGGACACCCAATCAGAATCGAACCCATGATAGTAAAAATTGTTAACCAGATTACATGACGTCTCTAAAGCGAGGCACTTGCTTGACATTAATTTCCTCTCCAAGTAATTTTGATACCGTATTTAATCAAAAGTTATCAGTAACAAAGAAGAAACCCTAACCTGACATTACTCTTTCACCCGTCAATTGTCATGACATGCCAGTGATAAGACGTTCGTTAAACTATTGCGTTGGTCGAGAAATCATTTTTTTTTTTTTTAGATATTTTGTGGAAGTTTTTTTTTTTTTTAGATAATAATGATTTAGTAGATACAAGTCTAACTAATTAATCCATAGCTGGGGGAGAAGTAGTGGATTCCTACATTTCCCTATGATATTTGAGCGTAAGTGAATACAACGAACCCAACTGGAATTGGAACTCGGCACTCCGATTAACTTCCCGAGAGCTTTTATACATTACACCACCCAAATATCCAAGCTTACAGCACCTGGTATTCCCAGACGGTCACCCATCTAGGTACTGTCCAGGCCCGACGTTGCTTAACTTAACTGATCGTACGGGAAACGGTATGTGTTATGGAGTGATTTCACAGTGGAGGCTTGTATTTGTACTAAGTCGGTCCTAAAATAGGTTTGACGTACAAAACGTTAGGAACTTGATATAATAGGTATGACGCAGAGTAATCTAGTTGTGGTCGCTGATACTTTAGTATCCGACTAACGGTCGTCCGGCATCGACTGACTGATCGACCCACTGAGCGACGGTATTTAGTCCCAACGTGGGCATCATGTGGCACAAGGCCGGTTTAACGTGGGATCTCCGAGCCCGTGGGCTCGGCCAAAAATATGCCCTTTGAACCCGTATAAACGAGTTCAGGGTCGGTTTACCTCCCCGAAAGAGACTCCGCCCTTCGGCGTAGCCTCGTTCGGGTTCTTCCCCGCCCGAAGGTAGATAGTTCAACCGGTCAGCCGGTCGTCCGTCTTCAGAGTGAACTCAGACCGAACCACTGAGTGACTATTAACTATAGAATAGGTGTTTTCCACTATAGTATGTCAATGTGAAGCACATTTGAAGGAGGGGAAAAGAAAATCTGTTAAGTAAAGTACTCTGGTGAGAGCCAAAACGTCGAAAAAGGATGAAAGGAAAACCGACTGTCCAAGAATTGATACTATCTTGAGGAATAAGGCATTAATAATGATCGTGTAATATAAAAGAATGAAAGAAACTTGTGACTGGTGTTCGAGTTTTTATGGAAATAGAAGAATTGTCGTAACTCTCAATCATAAACGACTGTTTGTGATTTGGTGGAATCAAAGTCTATTTAATTAAACGTGTATTGTATCATTGGCTATTTTAAATCTAGGACTTCTACTATTAGACTTTACATTGTGTTTTACACCCTTGAGCAAGTATAACGACCCAATTGTATGAGCTGAAAATAGTATACAATACAAGTGAAGCAGAGAGGAAAAATTAGTTTGGCATTTGGAGAAGGAATGACTAACGAACACATAATAAAATGGTGATTTCAGAAATTTGTCCCTCGAAGCTTGAGGAAGACCAAAAACATCATCAAGGTCCAGCTGAGAAACAGTAGGGATTGGAAATAAAGGTCCGGTTTTTTTTTGTTTTATTTTTGTTTTGTTTTTTTAGATTTTTTTGGCGGGGGGTTCTTTTTTGGGGGTGTTATTTTGTTTTGTTTTTCTTTTTTTTATTCAAAGGTCATAATAATAAACAGGTATATAAAAAAAGGAGTGAAAATTAATTAATATGACAGTAATTCAGAGAAATTTAGACTTATATAAAGACTATTATGTCTCGCACTATTTGCTACTCTTACCAAAGGGTAAATGTAACGAATGGTAGCTATTTGGATAAATCAAATAGAAGTAAAGGTCATCAGCAGTAGCAGCAGCGGCAGTATCTGGAAGACGTATTGATCATCAGCATCATCAGGAAGATGTATAGTTCATCATTATCATTATCAGGAAGACGTTTGGTTCATCATCATCGTCATTAAAAGAAGTGAAGATCATTATCATCATCATTATCAAAAGAAGTGAAGATTATCATCATCATCAGCAAGATGGTTGCACAGATGCTCTCGAGTTTTTCTCACCAGTCTTCGCGATTATCCATCACATCTGCTAAGTCTTCAGATTAACTGTTATAATATTTCAGTCAATTCACTTAACAAACTATTATGATTTTATCCACGCTCATTCTAATGATTATCCAGTCTATTAACCCCATTCTTTTTTAAGCTTTCATAATATTTCAGCCTTTCTACTCGATTTTCTTTTCACTATAAATCGGACACCAAACTACCACCAGCCACGATAAATGGATTTCCCCTCAAGGAGGCCCCATGTCTTGAGCGGCTATATCAGTCAGTTATGTGCCATGTGTAATACACACTTAGGCGATCATGTATTTTTCGATACATGACTGACGAGGAAGATTTTTTCCCGCAGTATTTTGCCATTTCTTTCTGCGGTAGACCAGTTGCTATCCAGGGCTATAGAACCCGGTCTGTTCTGCTATTTATCCATAGCTGGTGGGAGAAGAAGAGGATCCATACCTTTCCCAAGGGTATGAGCACGTAAGTGAATGTAATGGATTCAAGTGGAATTTGAACTCGGTTCTCCGATTCCTCAATCCGAGTCGTTATCCACTACTCCAACACCCCAGATCCCAAGTGGAACTCGTACATGCAATCCATCGACAAAAATCGCTTCCCTGTACCACCCCAGAAAGTACCTGACTACTCCTGATATTCTCTACCTTTACAGGAGCCAGATCAGTCCTAAAATGAAGTACTGCTGTCATATTTGGGAGGGAGCTACCCGGACCGCCCTTTCTAGTCTCGATAGAGTCCAAAAGCGTCTCCGCGTTTTTGTGGGTGACATTTATCCACCCTACAACCTCTCTCTCACAGGCTGGATGTGGCAAGTCTCTCACTACTCTATCGTTACTTCCATGGAAAGTGTTCGTATGAACTACATCCGTTGCTTCTGCCAGTTCTAACCCTCACTCCTAAGACCCACCATTGTAACGAACCACCCACATTCCTTTCGTATCCCATCGGTGAGAAGTAAGTTCCACTTAAGCAGATTCTTCCCGCGAACCCTTTCTCTTTGGAACCGACTCCCAAGAGGATGCTTCCCCGATCACTACAATCTTAACCTGTTCACGTCTAGAGTTAACCGTTATCTTCTCCTCCTATACACAAAAACGGCCATTTCGTCTATAACCCTCTAGCTCGACTGCTTTATATTGGGAGAATCTCACTGTAAAAAAGAATTATTGTAAGGACCGTGTCTGTAATTAACACTGCATATCTTGTTTTTAAGATTGTAGCTGCCAATAATGAATCCTGGTAGGTATTTTAGTTCTCTCAGAATCTCCTCACTGTATAGATTGAATAAGTCCAGTGAAACGACACACCCTTCTTTCTATTTTTGTATATTTACTGAACTCATTTTCTATCCGTATACAGGCGGGTTGATGCCGGTATAAACTTTGGATTATTCTAATATCCTTCCCAAATATGTCAAGGTTATTTAGCTCTTCCAACAGTTCTTTGTGTTGTACATTATCAAACGCTTTTGCATAATCTATAAAACATAGATAGGCATTTTATTTTAATTGGTGTTGATATCATTTTGAGTATAAATAACGTATTCTTTGTTCCAGTGTCTTTGACGAATATTCACTGTTCTTGTCCTATTTCCAGTCTGATTCTGATGCGCTTTCTATTCATCAGAATTCAGATTTTTTTGTTATAGCACTACAATTACTACTACTGCATCATTTGCGGATATCCATGTTTGATTAAAAGGTCTGATCTTTAAAACAGTGGGAATTACGTCTACCAGCCTATGCATTTGAGAGGCTTAATAAATAAAATGTGTTCTCTAACAGGGTTCGAACCCGCGTCCCCCTTTGTATGGTCCTGCGTATTTGAGACAACTCGGCCACAGAGACAGTCACACCCCAGCAAGAATCAATTATCCTTTTAAGGTATAAACATCCTCTCGTTCAGAACATTTCGAAAGTCCATATCTCTTCATTTTTAGTATCCGAAATTTAATCGATGAGTTTTTCTTTTTATCTGACATTATTTCATTCCACTATTCCAAACGTTATTTTGTGGATACACTTGCTTGAGTAGAAGCCATGTTTTTTTTAAACTGTATGAATTACGTATATGAAATGCTTAGTCCTTTCTTTTCGCTTTCCCTCACTGCCTTCTGTAGGAGTTCTTGCGGTTTCTTTTCTGCATTTTCTACCAACACTGAGTCATCTGCATATCTTATTTTTATAAGATTGTTGCAGTCAATAATGGATACTGTTACGACTTCTAATTCTCGTCACACTGCATAGGTTGACTAAGTCCAGTGAGACGACACACCTTTCTTTTTATTTTTGTATATTTACTGAATTCATTTTCTATCCGTATGCAGTCGGATTGCTGCCAATACAGTATAAGTTCTGGATTATTCTAATATCCTTCTAGCTCTTCCAACAGTACGTTATCAAACACTTTTGCATAATCTTTAAAACATAGGTAGGCATCCTTCTGCATTTGTGTTGCTCTTTCTATCATTTTGACCATAAATATTGCATTCCTTGTTCTAGTGTCTTTAACGAACCTTCACTATTCTAAACATCGACTGCAAGAAGACGGTATGCATGATTGTTAGCAAATTACAAATTGAAAATGCAAAAATCAAATAAGTACAACAATTTAAATATCTAGGAAATATTTTAACAGAAGACGAAAAATGCGACACTGAAATCCAAAGGCGCATTGGGATAGCGAAAGATGTCTTCCAAAAGACAAGCAAAAAATTAAGAAACAGAAAAATTTCATTAGAAACAAAGAAAAGAGTACTGAACTGTAATATGTAATATCGGTCCGCCTATATGGCAATGAATGCTGGAGAATCTCCTCGCACATGAAAAAGTGTTATGGAGTGATTTCACAGTGGAGGATTGTAATTGTACTAAGTCGGTCCTAAAACAGGTTCGACGTACAAAACGTTAGGAACTTCATATAATAGGTATGACGCAGTAATCTAGTTGTGGTCGTTGATACTTTTAGTATCCGACTAACGGTCCTCCGACATCGACTTACTCGTTACTCTTACTACTCCTACTTATTATAGGTGGGAGAGTCTATTAACTATAGAATAGGTGTGTTCCACTACAACAAGAAGAGACTTGAGGCAACAGAAATGTGGTTACACAGAAGAATGCTGAGAATATGTGAGCAACGACGAAGTTTTTAGAGAATGTAGAAACAAAATACAGACGCTTATACTTAACACCAAGAAGAGACAATTGAAATTTCTAGAGCACATAATGAGGAAAGAGGGATTGAAAAAGTTGATACTCACAGGACAGATTGAAGGCAAGAGAGACTGAGGTAAATAACACACAATCTACCTAGAGAACTACTAGATCAAGGTTTAGGACAAATGACAAAAAGACAGAATTTATTAAGACTAATAGGAGGAGATAGGTTCGATTATCATTTGGTTCACATTCCTTCCTGTTTTTTTTTTTT